GCTTGTCATGTTGGTGAATTACTAGAAGATGGTGATTCTAGCCCCATACTTACATTTTTAATATTTTAATTAATTTTATTTGAAAGATAAGAAAAGATGACCATAACCTTAAGATACAAATAGTTCACAGATGAGTTACCATCTTTAAAAAGATATCAGTGAATATATAATCCTGGGTTTGTTTCTTGACTATATTTTCTTTCACTTATTTATCAGTCCTTGCTGGAGGTGGTATCATATTATATTAATTTCAAGAATAAGCTAGCTGTCTGTCATCTCTGTCTAATATGCCATTTCTTAGACGGTGTCAGGAATATTTCTGAGTAATCCACAAAGTCGTACTATTGAAATCTTAAATAAGGTGGTTTAGATTTGACAGTTTTATCTTTTTGTGAAAATAGGTGAAAAAAATTATTCCTTCTAGGATCATAGTTAATCTAAATGTAATTCTCTTAAACATACTAATTTTCTTAAACAAAATAATGTTAAAAAATGATAGCTGCTAACTGGATAAAAACCAAAAAGAAAAAAATACTTTTAATACCAAGAATCATACATACTGTGACTTTTCTTCCTAAGTAAGATTCACTTATCTTGATATTGCTGGTTTCGTCTTGACTTTTTACAAATAAATATGGTTGTGATTCATGTAGCTGACCACTGCACATATCAAAAGTAACCACATCACCTTCTTCTTTGGCAACAAACCCGCAGTTACATGACACAGGATAATGAAGGCTTCCACAATCCCATTGACGCACATGGACTTCAAAATCACGTGACATACTCTTATAAAGCACAAATGTTCCGGTCTTGAAATTATCATATACCCTATCATTAACAGAAGTCAACTGTGTTAAGAATCAGTATAAAATATCACAATAGTACGTGTGCTGTAAACCAAAAATAGGTATTAAAGGTATTTATAGACAATCAATATGTTTTGTTGCAAGAATTAAAAATTTAAATTTGCAATAGTTTTATTTATTATGGAGAACTATTTGTACAGCCCTGAACAAAACCAAATAGCAATAAACACATTTTTCTTCCCTTTCACCTTTCCATTCACCCTGCACTCCTTGAGCAGAGTAGACAGGCCACATGATCTTATCCCCAAATGTCGATACACATGGTTATCTCATTGACCTTCTTCAAGTATTTGTGCAGATGTTACCCATTCTAGTTGCTTTTCATAACCACTCTATTTTGATGTAAATTATAGCCTCTGCTTTCAGTCTACCCTTTCCACTCCTACTTTTGTTTTCTTTGAAGACTGATCTTCCTCAAATACATCCTATATTTCTCTAATAATTGTGTTTACATTTCTCTTTGCCTATCCAGATCCATGACAGCGGGGAGTGTTTGTTTATTTACTGCTGTGCCCAACATTTAGAAAAGTTTCCACTTAGTCATTGTACAATTAATCTTGTTGAATTAAATGGGGTTTTCATCACCACTACATTTTATTTCTTTTTTTAAAAAAAGAATTATTTTATTCAATTGTATTCTACATGATCTTTTTTTTTTTTTTTTTTTTCCCAATTTGACCAGAGAAAGAGACAGAGAGAGAGAAAGCAAATCTCCAGGTTCGGGACTCAAACCACAGTCTTCCATGTGGGAGTTCAGTGCCTTAACCACCATGCGACCTGCTGCTCCACCACTACATTTAATTGAGGATTTCCACTAACATTTTATAAAAGTAAACTATAACTATAAGAGACTTCTGCATGAGGGATCAAGTCTGACAACATTTTAATTCCTGCTCAGATCTGTGAACTATCATGTTTTATTGGAGGACACTCTAACTATTCACTCATATTGAATAATTTTGCTGTTATTACCATGTTGCAATAAAAGAAAACCTACTTACATGATGAAGAAACTTTCAGATTAACACTAATATGTCCTTATTCTTAAGGACATCTCAGGATCATGAATCCCCCACAGAAGAGAATAAATGAATTAAAATACTCCTATGCAGATATTAATAGCATTAATAATTAATATTAATAATGTTAATAATATCTATTAATATTAGATACTTTTTAGTAATTTCACTCATCTTACTTTAAATTCCAGTGGCAAATATTCAGGTTTCATAATAGTTACAATAGCTTTTCCCTTGAGTATTCCTGTTATGAATTAGGAGTAATTTTTAAAATAATTATAATGTGTTAGTTTAATTATTTTGTCTAAATCTCAAAGACCATTTTTATTGCTATATAAAAATGGAACACAGTAAATATCTTTAGAACAAATAATTTAATCACTATTAAAAATAAATAAATGGTCAAGCAAAAATGACTGTTTGCATTAGTAATACTCAATTTTTACAAATTTGGTCTCACAATTAGTCTGTAATTTTTTTTAACTGAGAACTAGATTTTAAAGCAAAAGAAAATTCTAGATAAACTATCATCTTGAAACCAGCTAGTGCTATCCATATATACCTTCCTTTCTAATTTTCAGTGATTGCAATTAAGACATTTTGAAACAGAATGTTATTTAAAATAGAACAGCAAAGAAACCAATACAAATAAAAACTGCTAAAAGAAAAAAAATATAGGTAATTACCTTCCATCAAATGTAATTATATGTGGGTCAGTAAATGAGTAGCAGTAAGCAGTTGGGACGTCCTTTACTTTGATCTTAAAAGCAAAGATATTTTTGGTAAATATTACTTTTACATGTTATTTAGTAATATCCAATTAGCTGCTTAACAATGATAATACAATTTCAATTTTACTTAATTATTGTTTTTAACCATGGTTATTGAAAATTGGATCATTTGAAAGCAAAAAGTATTTAATCTAATAATTTTTAGATGAATAGTTTACAAGGTATAGTTATGAAATGCACATGTCTCTCTCTTTTTTTCTTTGAGAGGTTTTTGCTATAGAATATGTGTGTTCACCAGAAAGAGAGAGACAGAGAGACAGAAAGCAAGAAATCAACCCCCCCCCCAGGGGGAATACCCACACCGCAATCCCTTCTCCTCCATTCTCCTCTTGGGATCTTGAGCATGCACGCACACGCACACGCACCCATTGTGAGTTTAAGCCACTGGGTCTGGGACTTGAACCATGATCGACTATATGGGAGTCCAGCGACATAGCAGTTACACTAACTGTTGGTCCCTGAACATGTCTTTTAAAGCTTAAATTATAAAGATATTTTTATAATTTATCAACCTGGATGCTGGCTGGAACATAGCTGTTCCATAGGAAATCTTCATTAACTATAGGTTGTACTTCAATGCTTGTAATTCTATCTCCATCTCGAGAAAAATCTGTCACAGCAGTGTACTGCACAACAGCATGGCTACAGGTTCCATCAGCACAGGATGGTGCCTGAGGAAGGTCCACATGACAGGAAGACAGTGCCAAATTTAAGCCAAAGTGCTCTTTACCTATTTCAAGAACAAAAAATGAATAAAAATAGAAAAATTTCTCAAGGAAATATACTAACTAAACCATGATTAAACTAAACTTGATTAAAATGAAACACTGAGTTGAAAGATTATTCTTATTTTCTTTTTTTAACAAATATGATTGCAATTTTTGTCTAGATTAAACCAAAGCTATCAAGTTTACTTTATCTTTACAATCAATTTCAATACATATGTGTATACCCATACAAACATATTACTACTAATATTTTCAATTAGGTTGTAAGCCTATGTACAATTGGATCAAATTAATAGGCCCAATAAATAGGCCCAGCTCAGTGGTGCCGGCAGTAGGAGTGTTGCCATGGGACGCTGGAAGAGACATTGGAAGGCTCCAGGTTTGCTCCTAGATCTACCTTATCATCCTGGGTGCACTTGACTGCAGGGATGCAGGAAAATAGTAGAAAATATTTAGAATAGGGCTTATCATTTTAAAAAATAGAAAACTAAAACAAACAAAGGTGATCTTACACCCATAATAAACTAGCTTTTCATTCTCAAATGTCTTGATAAATTATGAACCTCAGGATTCCCTCTTGGCTATGGGACAAAGAATAAGAAAAATAATGTGGAAAAGAAACAGTAACAGAAGGAGAAAGGGACTCTAGGAATTTGTATAATTAAAGAAAAAGAACAGATTCTTCTCAGAAATTGGCACAAAAAGGAAATATATTTTCATATCCAACTAATGGTTACAAAGTCTTTCTAAGAATCAAAGAGGAAGAAAGAAGTTGTCCATATTTTTCTATCTTCTTTTTTTCTCACACAAGTATTTCCATTATAAAATTATACTAGCCAGATATAAGTACATTGCACTAAATTCAAAATTCCTGGAAAAAAAGGTTTTCTTTATGCATTTTTATCTGGAAATATATATTTTCCCCTTGCCCATAAAAAAATAACAGATGTATCCAAACTCCTAACCTACTCCTTAAGTTGAATATCAAATATTTCTGGCTGAGATACTGCCCATTACATCATTTCCCCTAGTCGATAGTGTGAGAGCCAAGTATTGTTCTCTGTAAGCCTGTGAAGAAGCAGCACAGTCTTTGCAGAAAAAAAACTAAGAGACACCAATTGGTTCTCATAAAAGTAGAAGTTTAGTGGAAATAACTTTAAGAAGACAAGATGAGGAAGATTTAAAATGAAATCCAGAATTTTTTTCTCCAGAAAATAAAGAAATCATTTTTAATTTACAGAGAATTAAAACATACAAATTTCTAAAACAGAGAAATGTATTTAGACTATTTTTTTTTGTATTTTGGAACAATATTGGCTTTATTGAAATAATCGTGAGCATGCAGCTATATTTTAAAGCATACTTGTATCTGAAGGAAATTTTTGCCTAATACAATTTTAGAAAATATCAGTAACATCTTTCTGCTTTCCCCATGAATAAAAAATTTAAGAAATTATGCTTTCCAGAAATGAATTGAAGTAGAATTGTGTTAAGTGTGAGAAACAGGGCTTTATTTCAACTTTTGAGCTGTAATTTATAATATGAGGGAGTCTTCCAAAAGTTTATAAAAATGAAAATGACTATTATAAAAAGGTTATGCATAGATTTTAAATTTTTTGCACCAATATAAACTGGTACATTAATTCCATTTTTCTATAAACTCAAAGTCCTCTCATGGTGTTGTTCATGGTGTTTCTAGAATTTGAGTGAATAGCTGGGTATTATCTAATCTTGCTTTTTGTCAAGTATTTTACGATAGCCACTCTAAATTCCTCTATCTCTTTACCTATTTCTTTTCCTGGATATGAGTGTAAAGAACAGATATCTTGTGTTTGGTGTATTTACTAAATAAATACATAAATAATGTTATGTGCCATGATAAAAAAATGATATATCTAAGCAAAATTATAATACCTATTAAAAACTGTTAAAAAGTTGTATTTCACCCATGCACTTCTCTCACTTACTTTGATTTCTACATCAGCAATATACGGCAAAAATTCCTCCCTCAATCCTGCTATATATGGTTACTTTTCTTCTATTTTTATCATGTTTTATGGGAAGATTTCTGCTCTCTCCATGTGGCTATGACAGTGACTTATAAGTGGCCATGCAGCGTGATGTCTATATAATTAGTCATTTAAGTGGAAGAATTTTAAAACAAAAAGATTCCAAATATATGCTTACGTTAGGAGAAGAAGTGTAAAGAATGAATTATGAGATCTGTGTTTAATGGGACAACTTTTGGAATAACTTTTCATACCTCTCACTGAGGATAATTTAGATAATCTTAGAGAACAGTTTTTTCTTCAGCCTTTGAAAACAAAGCAAAGAGAAAAATAAACAGGAAGATGAGAAGGGAGAAAAATATGGGGGAAAATGAAGAGAGGAGAAAGATGATAGGGAGGCAGTTGCTCATTATTATTTTTTCTTTTTTTATTTATGCTTTGAATCAAGAAGGGATAAATGTGAATTGTTTGGGAAATCATAAATTCAGTCCGATATTATTAATATGATAGAGCTATAATTTGATATAAACATGCAATGTAATTGATTATATGAGTAAACACCAGTGATTTTTTTTCCTAGCAAAAAAAAATGCTTTATTATAATTTGAAATCTAATAATAAAATTAATTTATTACGGTACCTTGATCAATAGTTTTCAGTTTTAATGAGATTTTGCATTCTTGACCAAGTTTACTGAATTCAGAACAAATAATTGGAATTGTACTCTCAATCCTCAATTGATATTTTTTCCCATCTTCTGATATAGTGCTCAATTCAGGTTGTAACTGGTATAAGAAAATATGTAGAGCAATTATGTTAAAATAGGACTTATTTTTAAGCTATACTTTTAAAAGTGAATTTTCTCAGTAGCTTGTCTTTTGGCAACAAACTAGTAATAACTTAAGAACTGGAGTTTTTAACTAAATAAGACCAGTTACAATGAACACATGAAAATATAAGCTCTAGGCAGAGAAGTACACGAAGCTCTGCATTTTTCTAGGTTTGGACTCAGTTTTGTTCCCTAATACATGTTGAGCAAGTCTCACCCAAGCCTGCCTTGGAGAATCTGGCTCTACACTTAACACTGAGGAATTGAGAAATATTGCTATTTTCTTTAAATTGTTTGCTAATTGTTTGACACACTAATGGAGGAGTCTTGTTATTCTTATAGCTTAAATAGAAATTTAAGAATTCTTAATACTTAAATCAAATGATCGTCGTCACCTGAAATACCTCTCCACTCAGCGTATTTCTCAGCCTCTGCGTTCCACAGTTGTATTACTGAGTACTGCAATCTAGGGCTTGCCTTATTTCAGCTTACACTTTTTTTCTTTAGGCAAGGATTTATTATTATTTTTTTAAGGCAGTCTCAAAATCTTGGCTAGGTCTCAAAACAGATGTTCTTAGCACAGAATATTCTCCCTGCTAACCTTACCAAAAATACTACCTGGTGCTGATCACTGGCCTTTGATATGTCTGCTGAGTACTTAGCAAGGCTGATCGAAAGGTCCCTATGCTCAGAATATCTGAGCTCTCCTTCCCCCCTTCCATATGGTAATGCTATTCTGACAACCTAGTCCATTTTTCTCACTTTTTTTCTTGGTCTCTATTGTGTATGAATGGACCAGGTTTTATCCTGATCCTGAGTCCTATGGGTTCAGGTCAAGCTTCAGTCCTGTGTGTGAGACCTCCCAACTTCACAGTGCTTGCCTGCTTGAACCTCTCAATACTGCCTCCTCTTCCATCACTTCTGAATTCCTTTTCACTTCTGTTTATCTGCTTGAATGACTTAACAGATCATGGGACCCCAATGCTACCACAAATAACTAAACATACTGCACTGTTTAGTTAGCTCAGTTTTTGCAGCTAATAATGTCCAGAGCTCTGTCTGGATCAATTGTACTCTAGTCAGAGGTTCTAATCCTTGTCATGGTACCTGTCCTCCAAAATGCATGATACATAAATAATGAAATGTTTTTAGTTACAGAATGGGATGAAGTACAGGGATAAAGATTTTGATTTATTTTTATTCAAGTTATTTCTTTTTTAAAATGTAAGTATATCCTAAATTTAGTTCACTGAAAAGGTCCTAAAAAATCTTGTGCATTAGAATTACTAGGGTTATTCTTGAAGAACAAGGGGACTTCAAAAAGTTCTTGGATAAGAGGAATTGAAGTGCAAGTTTGTTTTGGTGCATAAAAGCAATGTATGGGTTTCAAAAAAATTCAGCCCAAAATAAACTCATACTTTAATTTTATTTTTCCACAAATGTGTTGAAGTTCTCTCTTACAGACTCCTGGGTCTCCACAGTATGATTAGGTCTGTGATGCGGTCCAGGAACCATCATGGACAAATCACAGTTTGGGAAACACAATTCCAGATGAATAATCTTTCTGATCCATCCCCACTACATACCTTAATGCCTGCAAAAAATTCTTGGCTTTCGACGGCTAAACTTTGTATATGTGGTTTCTCCAGGAAAAAGATAGAAACACTGCAAAATATCTATGAATAGAGTTAACAAATAATTATTTAGCAATAAAATTATGAAAAAAGTATAAGTTATTATCTTTCGATTCTTTAATTTTTGTATATAGAGCATTAGTGATAAAAGAGCTAAGTAAACACTTAAAAGTTAAAAATTTCAACATTATAAAATGTTGTTTATTCAAACTTATGTTAATATGTAGTAGTAGGCTTTTTAATTAAGACATATTTAAAAGTGGATAAAGATAGTATCATTATTTTTTTTAATATATGTTTGGGGAGGCAGCAGGTGGCATAGTAGTTAAGGAGCTGAGCTCCCATATGGTCAACCACTGTTTAAGTTCTGAATCTGGCTACTTGAAACTCATGCTTGGTGTATGTGTGTGTGTGCCTCCATGCCCAAAATCTCAAAAAGAGAATGGAGGAGAAAGGATTGTGGCATTGTTATCCCCCCAAAAGTGATTTCTCTCTATCTCTCTGTTTCTCTGTTTCATCATCCAGTTATCACTAGAATTGGCACCACTGCCAAAGAAAAATATGAAAAGAAAAACATTAAAATTGTATATTCTGGGTATGAAATCTACTTTTAGGATAATATTTTAAAATACTGTGCTTTAAAGTCAATACATTCATTTTAAAAAAAGAAAGAAAGAAAATTCAATCTGTTTGAACATACCCTATCTCCAAGTCTGAGATTTATGCCATCAAATTCTAAACGAGAGAATGCCTGAACTGTGGTCTCTTGTTTCAATTCCTCTTTGATTTCTTGAGGAGAAAGTCTAGACCAAGCTATGAGAAATCCAACTGAGTCGTTTGTAGGGGAAACATCAAAAGAACACCTACAGAAAAGCTTGGACTCAATCGACTCCACCACAACCTCTGGCCTTCCTGGAGGTGCAGGTGGCAATGAGGCAGACAGCTGGCCTGGTGGGAGAAAGTGCATAATCCATAGTCAGGATTCTCAAAGAAGAAAGACTGACTTACAGAAAAAACACACAAACCTATAACTCTGGGATTTACCTTCATGAAAAACAAGATAAAATCTAAAAAGTGGTTATTATCTAGCAATTAGCAAAGTAGCACATTCATATTTTGACTCCTAATCCCATGAATATTGATAGTAGACTAATTTCTTGGTCTTAAATAAATAAAACTAAGTTTGTATGCATTATAATTCTTGGTTATAAAGGAAAATAGTCACTATAATTTAAAATCAAATGACTTACTCTTTTACTCTCGTAATTTATTCTCACAACTCAACTCTCCATTGTTGTTGGTTTAAAGAGCTGTTCATTACAGAGGTTATTATTCTGTCTTAGTGAAATACATCGTGTTCAACAACAGTTTTATTCTTTCCATTTTTCTAGGGTTAAAATATTGGAAGTTTAGGAATTCATAAAAAGATTTTATGATTTTTAACTCTGGGCATTTGCAAAATTAAAGCAATTTTGGGGTCAGAAAGGTTTCTAATTAATTTTTTGTTTTGTTCTTTTTTGAAAAAAGAAAATGTCTGAGTAAGTGTTTAAAGTAAGATTTAAAACATGTTCAAAAATTTTCCTTCTCAACTGCCAGACCATGAACAAACTGGCCATGCCCTCCTCAGCACATCTTCAACAAACCCCCAAACCTCTCAATAACATGGTTGATACCCCCCAAAATGAAATTAAATAATATATATAAATTATTTTTCTATTATGTACATGATCATTTTATGATGTCACAAAATTCATTTTCAGCTCTGTCATGTAGATTTTGGAAAATTCAGAGGGACCTTCACCTGAGATCTCTTCTGTGGATGAAATGTAGTTTTTGAAATTTAAAAATGTTATTTTGTTAGACATCATATGCCAAAGTTCTAAGGACTAATTAATTGTTTTCAAATGAACCTAATTAGTGAATATATTGCTAAACTGTTTAGACATTAGATCAATGTTCAATTCAAATTTGAAGTAAATATTAGACTACTTTTGAATAGATGTTTTATTTTTCTTTTGGAGAGAATTTTGCTACAAAGTGTGTGTGTTCTCTGGAGAGACAGAGACAGACAAAAAGTGAGAAATCACCCCACAAGGGGGATAGCCACACCACAATGCCTTCTCGCCATTCTACTCTCAGGATTTGGGGCACACACACACATAAGCCTCTGGGTCTGTGACTCGAACCGAGTTTGGCCATGTGGTAGTCCAGCACCTTAACCACTATGCCGTCTGCTGGCCGCTACATGTCTGATTTTTTTTAAAAAAAATTTTCCTGGGAACCAGCAGTTAGCATAATGGCTATGTCACTGGACTCCCACGTAGTCGACTGTGGTTCGCGTCCCGGACCCGGTGGCTTAAAACTCACGCCAGGCGCGTGTGCGTGCGTGCCCAAGATCCCGAGAGGAGAATGGAGGAGAAGGGATTGCGGCGTGACCATCCCCCCTGGGGGGTGATTTCTCACTTTCTGTCTCTAATGTCTCTCTCTGTCTGTCTGGCGAGTGCACGCGCCCTATAGTGAAAATCTCTCAAAAAAAAAAAATTTTCCTTAAATATACTAGCAAAAGAAAAATTAAATTTATTTCTATACAGAGAAAAAAACTACAGAAATGCTTATTAGGAACAATAGCTAACAAACACCTTAAGGAAATAATTTATTACAATTAAAATCTTGAAATCAATATTTTATTTTATTTTTTTATTTTTTTGGAGAGGTTTTACTATAGAGTGGGTGCGTTCGCCAGACAGAGAGAGACAGAGAGACAGAAAGCGAGAAATCATCCCTCAGGGGGGATGGCCACGCCACAGTCCCTTCTCCTCCATTCTCCTCTCGGGATCTTGGGCATGCACACACACGCGTCCGGCATGAGTTTAAGCCACCGGGTCTGGAACTTGAACCGCGGTCGACTACGTGGGAGTCCAGTGACATAGCCATTATGCTAACTGCTGGTCCGTGAAATCAGTATTTTAAACAGCATCTACTGGCCTGGCTTTGTAGCATAGTGGTTAACAGAGTCAGATCCCACATGGCTGAGAATGGTTGGAATCCCAGCTTGCAAAATATGCTGAGCATGTGTGTGTGTGCCTACATAACTAAAATTCTAGCAGAATGGAGTCAATGAGAAGAGATTATGGGAACCACATATTGAGAGAAACTTTTTCTCTCTCTTTCTTTTTCTCTGTATTTCTCCAGCCAGAGCATATACCCTCTGGCAATTATAAAAAATAGCATCATCAATCTGTGTGAACTGGTCATTATTTGCAACAACAACACAAAATTGTTTGAAAAAATTTGTTTTAAAAAAATATATACATCCAAATATTGCTAGCAGGTGTGTGTACTCACCAGATGGAGACATACAGAGAGGTAGAGGGAGAGAATGAAGCACCATCCTTTGGGAATACTTCCTTTGCAATCTGATCTCCTCCATCTTCCTACCTTTTTGGATTTGGAGCATGTGTGCATGTGCCCAGCTTCTCAAGTTACAGAATCTGGGACTCGAACTGCTCCATTAGTCACATGAGATCCAGTTGCCTTAATCTTTATGCCATGGAGCTGTCCCCAAAATGTACTTTTAAAATAACAGATACATTATTTCTGCTTGAAAATTGTAATTGTCAACTCTAATAATAGCATATACTAAATTGTTACTATGTTTTCTCTTTTATCATGAAGGTTTGTATATTGACTTTTTTTTCTTGAAGAAGTTTTTGCTATAGGGTCCATGCGTTTGCCAGACAGACAGAGAGACAGAAAGCGAAAAATCACCCCCCAGGAGGGATAGCCATGCCACAATCCCTTCTCCTCCTTTCTCCTCTTGGGATCTTGGGCACACATACACACATGTGCGCCTAGCATAAGTTTAAGCCACTGGATCCGGGATTCGAACTGTAATCGACTACATGGGAGTCCAGCGACATAGCCATTACGCTAACTGCTGGTCCCTGTATATTGACTTTTGACTCAATATTTTCATTCAGGAGTTACTTCTCCAAATTTCGTGTAATTTTTTGTAGCATATATTTTTTCCAAAATTAATTGCCAAAACAAATAAATATACTTTATATCCAATGCTATTATATTAAGAACTATTTTTATTCTTTTAATTTTTTAAATAATAGTATCTAAATAAACTGAGATATTCAGATTTAACAATAGCTTGGGGAAAGAATATAATAAAAGAGAAAAAGAAAATCTATTAGTAGTTGGAACAAGGCATGGAGAACAACTCGAGAGTGATTTATTTTGAGATTATTATAACAGTCTTTTTTTGTTGATTTTTGTTTTTGTTTTCGTTATATGGCACATGTGCTTGCCAAAGAGAAACAGAGAGACAGAGAGACAGAGAGAGAGAGAGAGTGTGAGAAATCACCCCAGGGGGTCTTTTTCTCTGGAAGGGATACATACCTTCTGGCAAGCACACATGCCCTCTAGCAATTAAAAAAAAAAAGAAAGAAAACAAAAATACGATTATAAATATTGTGCTTACACATTTTTAAATAGCTCTCTAAAGTAGTTAAGTAAAAGTATAATTTATAGGTAAAAATACATGTGGATTTATAAGAATGTGGACATGAATTACCAAATTTTTTCATGAAACTGATATATGCAACTCTCTCTACCTCTGCCAACTCTAAGGTTATTTCTTAAAGTTACATTTCTTAAAGTTATTTTAATTTTTGATTCCCACCAGACTGTGGCATTGTCATGTATTAGCATAATTCAGCATCTAAAGTCACATAAATACCTGTCAAAATCACTGGTTTCCAAAAACATCATTAATAAACAAAATGTGATACTTACGAGCACAGTCACCTCCAATTTCAATTTCATCAGGGCCACATGGGTTTACTTCTGAACCAGAAACAGCTGCAAAAGATTAAGATTTGTATTAAATATACAAAGATTTGTATTAAATATAAGATTTGTATTAAATATACAAAGTAGTCAACTTAGATAAAAGATAAATCGACATATATCCAAGATAACGATTCCTTAAAGAAGTGTATTTTAATATGGACTATGATTCTTTTTAGTTGCTTAATTTTTTGTAATTTTTTTTTCCTTTTACAAGATGAAATAAAATTGAGGTAATAAGGGAATCATGTTTCAAAACAATGATTGATAGAATCTTGTTTTCTTTCTTCTTTCTCTTTTTTTTAATGTTTAGTTTTGCTATAGGGCCTGTGCACTCACCAGAGAGACACAAAAAGGCAAAGACAGAGGGATAGAAAGTGAGAAATCACCTCCCAGGGGAATCGCCATACCAAAATCCCTTCTCCTCCATTCTCCTCTTGGGATTTGGGGCATACGCGCACACACACCTGGCGTGATTTTCAAGCCACTGGGTCCAAGACAGAACCTCATTCTTGACTAGTGGGAGTGCAAAATGGTTCAGCTACCATGAAAGACAGTTTCGTGGTTCCTTATAAAACCAAACAGATTCTTACTATTTTTTTTTTTTTGAGAGGTTTTTGCTATAGGGCGCGTGTGCTCGCCAGACAGACAGAGAGAGACAAAGAGAGACAGAAAGCGAGAAATCACCCCCCAGGGGGGATGGCCACGCAGCAATCCCTTCTCCTCCATTCTCCTCTCGGGATCTTGGGCACACACGCACACGCACCCAGCGTGAGTTTTAAGACACCGGGCCCAGGATGCGACCCGCGGTCGACTATGTGGGAGTCCAGCGACATAGCCATTACACTAACTGCTGGTCCCAAACAGATTCTTACCATACAATATGGAAATCATGATCCTGGGGCATGCAGGTAGCATGGTGGTTAAGGCACTGGCTTCCTACATGTTTGATCATGGTTCAATTCTTGGACCTGGTGCTTGAAAATCACACCAGGCATATGTGCATGTGTGCATGTGTGCCCAAAATCCTGAGAAGAGAATGGAAGAGAAGAGATTGTGACATGGCCATCCTCCCTGGGAAGTTATTTCTCACTTTCTCTCTCTCTCTCTCTCTCTCTCTCTCTCTTCCTCTGTCTGTCTCTGTCTCTTTCTGGTAAGCACACACACCCTAAGGCAAAAACATAAAAAAAAAAAAAAAGGTTGTCCTTCATATTTATCTAAAGGAGTTGAAAACTTACTTCACCTATAAGTGAAAATATTCTCAGAAAGGTTTATAATTTTAGTCTTTATATTTGGGTCTCTGATGATTGTTAAGTTTTTGTTTTTCTGCTTGTCATGGGTTTTTACTTTTTGCTGAGAAATATTAATCAAAGTTTGTTTTGTTTTGTTTTTGCAAGTGAATATCCAATTTGTCAAAAACGCAATCCTTTTTCTATAGATTTGGCATTGTTCCTTTGCTGGATTATCGATTTACTCTATGTGTATTGGTCTGTTTGTGAACTCTCTATTATTTTCCATTGGTCTATTTACCTATCCCGATACAAATACCACAGTCTACTTTAGTATAACTTTTGAATAAGTTTGAAAGTCAGGGAGTATAAGTGGTTTGATTTTTTTTCTTGTCAAAGTAGTTTTAGGTATTATAAGTACTTTGTATTTGTATAAGCAATGTTGAAGTTGTTTGTCAATTTCCACAGAAAAAGTTTGTTGACATATTGATTAGAATTGTTTTGGAACAACATAACATTTTGAGCAGAATTGACTTTTTGTTTTTTATTGCAAGGGTCACATGTGCTTGCCAGAGAGATATAGAGATCTAGAGAGAAGGAAAGGGAGAAACCACTTCCCATGTTGAGTGGTCATGCTACAATTTCTTCTCCTCTTTTGGAAATTTTGGGCATGCACACACATGTGCCCAGCATGTTTCCCATGCCAGAGTCCAGGATTTGAACCACATAGTTGACCAAATATGATCCAGCTTTTTAACCACCAGGCCAAGAGCTAGTGACATTTTTTTTTCTTGAGAGAGAGATTTTTGCTATAGGGCACATAAATAGGCATTTGCTGGAGAGACAGAGAGAGACAGACAGAAAGTGAGAAATCACCCCCAGGGGGAGATGGCCATGCCGCAATCTCTTCTCCTCCATTCTCCTCTGGGGACTTTGGGCACACACACATGCCCAACTTGAGTTTCAAGTGGCTGGGTCCAGGACTTAAACTACGGTTGGCCACTTGGGAATCCAGCACCTTAACCACTATGCTACCTGCTGACCTCCATTTTGGTGACTTTTAAAGTGAATATTACTGCCTACCGTCTTCCTACCCAAGAGCCAAAAAGGAGCTATCAGCTGAGGGTGTTCATATGTCTAAGTGAAAAAATGACATTTCAGCGACTGCCTTTGCAGGTAGAGATGAGCCTACTAAAGTAGTTGTGATGGCGCTTTTTCTAAATAAGCTCCTTAATAGGGAATAAGTTTCAGTTAGCACAGTCCCCTTTCCCTTTTTCAGCTTTTTCTTTTATCCTGTCTATAATGCAAATAGAGAGGCTAATAATGGAGCTTCATCTTGTCATCATGAAAGAAAAGATTAGCAAATCACAGAGACCTCAGCTTGACATTGTAAAGTGGCCAATTTACGATCACCAATGCACATTCCGGATACTTGATAAACCAGAAAAAGAAATTCCTTTTTAAAAATAGTTATTATTTACTTTTATTTATTACTATTATTTTAATTTGCTACAAGGTATGTATGCTCATGTATACACATGCCCAGGATCCTGATGAAGAATTTGAGGAAAAGAATTTTGGCATGAACAGGCTCCATTTGGGGGTGCTTTCTCTATCTCCTTCTCTCTCATGTGCATATGTACCCTCCAGCATTGAGAAGAAGAGAAAAGAATAACAACTGTCTCCCAGAAATTCCCCCTCCCTGCATATTTGGAGGACTTGAGTGTAGACAATGAGAGAGGTAATTTTAAATCAAGGTGGAAAAGTTGAGTGTGGTGTATGGTTATGATATTAACAAAAAGGGATATATTTTAAGTTTTGAAGGAGTGTCATAAAATGCAAATTTAAAATTTTGCATTCTTAAATTTAATGTAAGCAATAACATTTCTGTTGAAATGACTATATTTTATGGCATTATTTGTTGTGACAGTTTTTTTTTTATTTTTTTTGGAGAGATTTTCACTGTAGGGCGCGTGTGCTCGCCAGACAGACAGAGAGAGACATAGAGACAGAAAGTGAGAAATCACCCCCCAGGGGGGATGGTCACGCCGCAATCCCTTCTCCTCCATTCTCCTCTTGGAATCTTGGGCACGCACGCACATGCACCCAGTGTGAGTTTAAGCCACCGGGTCCAGGATTCAAACTGTGGTCAACTACATGGGAGTCCAGCAACATGCCAACTGCTGGTTCTTGTTGTGAAAGTTTTGTTTTCACTTTTAATTGTTGATGTTTCTTAAACTAAAGTAGGTAAATTGTTGGTTTTTCTATTAAAATATCTTATAGCATTTCCCATAAGTATTTGGTAATATTATAGACGTCTTGTAAAAAGTAACTAGTTTTTCATGGGAAGAAATATTGAATATTAAGAAATATTATAAACAAAAATATTTTTAAAATTTTTCAAAATCTTTCATCTTGGCCACTCAATGAGGATGGTAGACTTCTTCTGGTAATGGATGGCACTAGCTCTTATTAACTGAGCACATGCTGCACTTCCTTATTGGACAGGTTTCTTTAATCCAGGTTTAGCTGGACAGCAGCTGCGTAAACACTTGAAGACCTACCAGCTCATTCCCTCAGGATGATTCTCTGAAGACTTTTCAATGCAAAGAGGGCAAAATACAAAGCTCCCTAAATGATCAGGCCTTGCTGCCCTTCAAACTGTGTCTTGTTAGGCCCTGTCTGCTGTAGCGAGCAGCTAGATCTATGTAAAAACTAGTGATCTTGGGAACCAGCAGTTAGTGTAATGGCTATGTCGCTGGACTCCCACATAGTCGACCGCGGTTCGTGTCCCGGACCCAGTGGCTTAAAACTCACGCCGGGCGCGTGTGCGTGCGTGCCCGAGAGGAGAATGGAGGAGAAGGGATTGCGGCGTGACCATCCCCCCTGGGGGGTGATTTCTCACTTTCTGTCTCTATGTCTCTCTCTGTCTGTCTGGCGAGCGCACGCGCCCTACAGTGAAAATCTCTCAAAAAACAAAACAAAACAAAACAAAAAAACTAGTGATCTTTAAAGCAGATATGGTCTTGGTGCTGAGGCTGCAGGGCAAGTAAAAGCTCTAATAAATCTGCACTACAGGGCAGTGTAGACTGAAGAAAGCTGTGTGTCAGCCAGAGAAGGCCGGGGGAGGCTTGTTCAGAACCACGAGACACTAGAAACTCTACAGTTGTAGTTGATTCTAGAAAAATACCTGGCTTTGCGCTATAAAAGTATAAACGTGGGAAAAACTCAGTGCCACAGGAAACACCGGGACCACCAATTCTAGCTTTTTTCTACTTGTGTGACAATATCTTTGTCTTTTCCAAATCCACCACTGCTCTCACTTGGGATCACACCCCTAGCCCACGCTTTGTTAGGCTGGGGCACTCTGCCTCATTAAGATCCAACATTTCTGACCTGCTTTCACTCCTGAGCATACCACACTCTGATCACCTAGAGGCCTGTCATGTGCTGTTGCTGCTGCCTGGGGTATTCTTCCCCTTACTCTTTGTCTGACCAAGGACAGCTGGTCCCCCTCTCTCAGCATAATGCTCTTTCGCTAGAAGAAGCTTTCTCTGGTGACCTTTCTTAAAAATTACATCTCCCCTGGGAACCAGCAGTTAGCGTAATGGCTATGTTGCTGGACTCCCACGTAGTCGACCGCGGTTCTCGTCCCAGACCCGGTGGCTTAAAACTCACGCCGGGTGCGTGTGTGTGCGTGCCCAAGAGCCTGAGAGGAGAATGGAGGAGAAGGGATTGCGGCGTGACCATCCCCCCTGGGGGGTGATTTCTCGCTTTCTGTCT